ATGCCAAGGAACTAGGCACAGTCTTCCAACTAAACAGCTGACGGGAAAGCCTGCCACCCCTCCACCAACACATACTTAATCCGCCACCAGCATTTGAAGTATGGTTATTCTCAGAATCAGACAATCTGCCTCTTTTTCTGCCAACGCCATTCCTTGAAGATGCACGCAATGAAGTAACTACAACATGAGAAGCTGAACCCATCGTAACAAATGAATCCACATGCTTCAACCACTCTGCTGAAAGTGCCAGGCGATGCAAATTCGCCTCTAACTGTATAAATACAAATAAGGTATAAATTAAACACAAAGGTATAAAGACGTAACATGGTTGCATAGAAGGACTATGTAGAGATATATCATGCCAAGGACAGACCCAGCTCCAACCAGATGAGATCGAGAACCAGGACAATCCAACACTTACACATCAAGAAAATTTCATAACAACCACTTTATGCTAATCTCATATCACAAAAAACCCTGACTGAAGATACAATTAGAAAAGAATAAACAGAAATCAGATTTTTGCATGAAGTTCCGAGTATAACAGATCAAAGACTGGTGCTATATGTCAATCATTCAATTTAGAGTTGATTTCAAGTCCACAGATAACAGCAGCCATAAACTAAATGGCAATACTAGGAAACAAAGGAAAAACACTCACTGTGAGCAATAAATGTTTCAAGCACGAAACACTTGATGCCTTGACAACACTTTTACGCCAAAGCTTGGAATAGTTTGGAGTCAACCATGGACCCAGCAACAGTCCATGCAAACGACTTTCAATGGAAAGAATATGGCATATAGCATCTATAAGATGGCCCTTCTTGTTCCTCTTTGATTGAAGTTCAGCCCTCTCACTTTCAGGAAGTTCCCGAACAAGACCCATGCACATGTTGAATAAGCAATCTGCATGGTCGTCGGGACCTTTGCAGGAAAAACACCAGCCACATTTTTCCATCACTGCATCTTCATTCTCATTCCAGATATTTGGAAAAGAAAGTCTTTTGGACCGTTTCAAAATGGCCTTCATCTGTATTGAAATGATTTCCTCCTCTGTTTTCATGGACGTTTGCTTTGGCTTGTCTGATGATTTGCCCATCAAATCCACTCCAATTAAGGAGGTTATCCAAGCAAAACTGTAACAGTTGATGTAACTTGACCCTTGTCCCATATCTAAGCTGCTAGATATCAAAAAGCAATCTCCAAGATTTGGAGCTTCCGAATGATTTAGAAAATCAACTGGCATACCATAAGTGCCATGCGCTTGTTTCAGGAAATTATGGTCATGAGGACCTGCTTGCGTAGTTTCAGCTGAGCCTTCAGAACTCAAGTATGGAACTTCTGTTGAAGTAGCCGGATCTGATGGATTCATAGGCTTTGAGACCCCAAATAAAAGATGAGCAGAAGATCCCAGAACAAACTTTCCCTCAACTTTTCCGTCATCAACGGCCTCATTCTTAACTGAACCTACTCCTGAAGATGTCAAAGGTGCTGGAGTCTTGGCAATGCCAGGAATCTGTTCCTTCAAAATTGCATCTGTGCTAACAGAGTAATGGGAGTTCAAAGTATTGGCTGCTCTATTTGAGCCAACAGGTATATCCCACTGCCTGTAAATTGCCTTGGTTATGCCACCATAAAGAACATCAGAAGTCTTTAACACAGCAAGAACACCATTCAGATCATTCTTATGGTAGTAATTAAATGATGATTGAACATCACATGTATCTATCCTGCAAGTTCACAGAACATGGCATCAAACTAAAAGTTGAAGCAACTATAACCAGAAGAAGAGTTGAAACTGTTGTATATCATTAAAACTGACACCTCGCAAAGAAAATGTGACAAGTTTTGAGAATTCTTTTTATGAGTTTATTAATAAAGAGATGATGATGATACGCACAACAATACACAAGTGAAAACCTACAAAAGCACAAGAGGATTTAAAAAATCTTCACTGCCATGCTTAATCAGAAAAGTGAAACAAAAAAAAAACAGAGATCTCAAATAAACTTTTAAAATGGCACTAGATTTACCAAGAGCATATAGCTCAGATGGCATGACACTCTTTCAGTTGAGCTGATGACTCGTGTTTGAGTCCTACTCCTAACTTTGTCTCAAAAGATATAGCAACAAATTCAGAAACAACTGAACCAGAACTTTCAATAGGTCAAATCATCTATAACTTCAAATAAGTGACCTGTTTAACCCCCAATTTTGAGCACCCAATTGATTTGTCAAGGTCAAAAGGTTTGTTGGTGGCCAATAGCCAAGCACATAGAAAATTTTACTATGGTGCCATTCAAAATCTCTTATATATCGTTGTTACAGATCTATTTTAGAGCATCCATCTCTACTAAATTTCTTGAAACACTAGGCGAGGAACTAGTTTGAGGCACGTTCGAAGTCAGGAAGTATATAGAGACACTATGCTAGAACTATCAATAAAAAAAATATCTTATTATTGTCCCAGAGGTGTACAAGAAGCTTTTATTTCAGAATATCTCTATCAACATCATCAGTTCTGAAAAGGGTAATAAACATGTCAAAAGCAACATTCTTTATCCATAACGGCTAAGATGAACCTATTTACGAAGTGAAAGACACTGAACTGCATCGTCCATGTCCAATCACAACCAACTGGGCCCCTAGAGAAAGGCTTGATTAACTCCTTCAGAATGTTTCACAAGAGAAAAATATTAAATAATTCTTTGTAAGTGTTAAGGACCATCAAATCAACGTCCATATGCTGATAGAGAACAAAGACAATATGGAAGGCAGATCTCATTGAATATTTGGAGCTCTGGACTATCATGCACACAGCACAATGGTCTACTACCAATGGTGTTTGGTAAAAGAACTAAAGAAAATGGAGTTGGTTAAACCGAGACAAGTCAAGATATCCTTGCCTAACAGAACGAGAGAGAGCAGCAAACCTTTAGGCACATTATAGGTTAAATGCAGTTTGACATGGCAGACTTCTATTTCAAAAATCTCCATATTACACTCCATGATTAAGGATTGAGTCATCAGACGATTAACAACAAAGTCAAATCGTAGCAAAGTGTTAATACTTTTTTTTCTTATTAAAAGAGCAATCTATTTTGTGTACATAGATTACAACTCATCAAAGGGAAGCTACTACGTTAGATCTCGTTTGAGAGAGATCTCACCTCGTAGTTTCGGAAATAATTCTGACTTATTTCGTTACTAGCAAAAATGCGTCTTTAAATAGAGGTTTAAAATCTTAGAATCCGACTCTAATTAGGAAATACCCTACTTAGGAATATGATCTTAGTTAGGAATACTAATCTAAATCTAATTAAGAATATTAATCTAAGTCTAAGTAGGAATACTTTACGAAAATATAGGAAATCTTATATTATTTAAGAATCATAATACTAATAGGAAATCATATATTATTTAAGAATCTAAAACTAATTAAAATTTCATATTTAATTGAACTTCAACCTCTTATTTAACCACTGTTTTGCTTCTTATCGTGCCTCTCATATTTGCGTCCTACAAATGCGTCCACGACACCCCAGCATTTTCTTCTATAGAA